ACCTGCCACAGCCGGGGCCAGAGCAGCGAGGGAGGAGACCAGGCCATGCTCCCGCAGAGCTTTGCCTTACGGGCACCATGCAGCCATGCAGCACCCTGGGACCAAATCCACTCATTTTCAGGGCAAAATTAATGATTCAGATCAGGCTGCTTGGGAAAATTCGTAAAAACAGGGCACTCTGCCTGCTTTTTCCCCTCTCCCCCAGCCCCGAAATGGTTTGACGGGCAGCGCTCGACCCAGAACAGGCAGGGCACACTGGCGGAGTACTGCTACATGCTGGTCAACCTGCCCCACAAGATCTCCCGGTGCCTGCACGTGGTCAACTTCTTCAAGGTCCGTCCCGATGACATGAACCCCGTCACGGACAGCCAGTGAGTCCAGCCGCCTGCCGCTTTGGGGGAAATCCTGCGTCCCCGGCCCCGGGCGCTGGCAGCAGCCCGCAGGGAGGGCACTGCTGCCGGCGATGAGGGGTGGTTGGCATTGAGCTGCCTTTGCTCTGACCCATCTAGGATCAAGAAGCCCGAGGTCTTCCTCCTGCCAACGGATGCCAAGAAAAACGCCACTGGTAAGAGGCCTTGGAGGGGTGCAAGCGGCTGCCTCGGCGGCAGCAAAGCCTGGCCAGGAGAGGGGCAGCCATCCCACGGCAGATGCCCTGATCGAGAGCACTGTCTCTGTGCCAGAGCTGCAGCTGGGAGGAAACTACAGCCTCGGGAGGAATGACTCCCTGTCCGGGGATCCAGCTGGTTTGGGACCAGAAGAGGCTGGGAGAGCGCATTGGGCTGTCTTGGGGTTGCTTTTGGCCTGCCTGAAATAGGGTATTTCTGCACTGGAGACCGGGAGAGGGAACATCTCTCACTTCTCCCCCACAGACATCACGGGCCCCATTGTCCTGCAAACCTACCGAGCCATTGCTGACTATGAGAAGAGCTCCACATCCGAGATGGCTCTAAAAGCTGGGGACATGGTGGACGTCGTGGAGAAGAGCGAGAGCGGTATGTGTCCGTTCCTCCAGAGAGCCCCCAGGGGCCAGCCCCCTCCTGGCCACCATTTCAGCATGGGGACTGCCTTTGCATCTCGCGTCCAAATGCAGCATGCGAGTTAGTTATGCCAATGCATGTGTTAAAGGGTAGGCGGTTGTATCAGGGTCTTCTGATGGAAAGGAGAAGCTCAGAGCAAATGCAACCAGCAGCACCGAACCTCTCGGCACTTCCCGCCCCCTTGGGACATGTTTAACATTCACATGGAGCCACATGACAGTCGGTTTTGGCCGGGGAGGGTGTGGGGCAATCCTAGAAAACCCTGCAACCTGCTCGCATGCCTCAGCCTGTGAGGTTTCCTGCCCAGGACGAAACAGGATGAACTGGCCAAACTCTCTGGTTGCACCATGTAAACAGAGACCAGCCCCGGTGCCCTCCCTTCTGTCCAGGCCACGTGGATGCCTGCGCCTACCCGGGCCGGGGACAGACCTGATGCTGGTGCCCCCGCGGTGCCCCCACAGCACCCTCAGCTCTTGCCCACGGCTGCTTTTGTTGCAGGCTGGTGGTTTTGCCAGTTGAAGAATAAACGGGGCTGGGTGCCAGCTGCCTATCTGGAGCCGATGGACGGTCCTGATGAGTCTGAAGAGCAGGAGCCCAACTATGCAGGTAAAATGTTGGGGTAACCAGGGTGTGCACCAGAGCACAGCCTGCTGCTGCTCCCTCCTGGGCTGGTTCATTGCAAGGCCCCAGCTGGACAGTCCGCGCTGCAGCAGGGCTGCTGGGCCCAGAGATGTTGCTGTAGAAGCTGCCAGGAGGGATAAATCTCATAGTTCAGTGCCTTACTCCCAACATCAGGAGCTTCCCGTAACACGCAACTCGGCATTAGATGCTTGTTTTGGCTGATCACAGATGCACATCTTCATCCAGTGGCCGTCCTGAGCCAGCTGGGTGCCTGCTGAGTTGCCGGGTTAGCAAAGGAGCACGGTGCAGCATCTGAACTGAGGCGCAGGCTTTCCCTAGCGCTTGGTTTCTGCGCTGTCCTTATCAGCCTTCCGTGGTTTCTGCGCTGTCCTTATCAGCCCTCTGCATCGCCCCACCGTGACAGCAGGGCCTTATCGCACAGAGCAGAGGGGGGATCCTTCAGACTCATGCTGATTGCTCTCCAGGCTTTGTCTTTGTGGTTTTCGAAACACTGCAACAGACTATATTAGCACAACACTTCCTTCTACCTCATTCAATCACCCAAATTATAAGCACGCTCTTCAGCAGAGATAGGTGTACTTCCACTGCTTGCATTCACCAGCTTTCTCCCGGAGGTGCTGGAGGGGCTGGGGGAAGTCTGAATCCAAACTTGGAGACCTGAAGCACCCTGGGTCTTGCCTAAAACATAGGGTAGACGCTCTGGTGCCTCCTCTCCTCGGCAGCTGGAGAGGATGAGCCTCATCCCTGGCATGGTAGCACACAACCTGCTGTCCCGATTTTGTGTGCAGGTGAGCAGTACGTTGTCCAGAAAAGCTACACAGCCGTGGAGGACGACGAGTTGTCCCTCAAGGAGGGTGATACCATCGAAGTCATCCACAAGCTCCTCGACGGCTGGTGGGTCATCAGGTGAGAGATGCCACGAACAAATCAGGCAAGCGGGACGCGGGCAGAGCCCTCTGCATCGCCCCACCGTGACAGCAGGGCCTTATCGCACAGAGCAGAGGGGGGATCCTTCAGACTCATGCTGATTGCTCTCCAGGCTTTGTCTTTGTGGTTTTCGAAACACTGCAACAGACTATATTAGCACAACACTTCCTTCTACCTCATTCAATCACCCAAATTATAAGCACGCTCTTCAGCAGAGATAGGTGTACTTCCACTGCTTGCATTCACCAGCTTTCTCCCGGAGGTGCTGGAGGGGCTGGGGGAAGTCTGAATCCAAACTTGGAGACCTGAAGCACCCTGGGTCTTGCCTAAAACATAGGGTAGACGCTCTGGTGCCTCCTCTCCTCGGCAGCTGGAGAGGATGAGCCTCATCCCTGGCATGGTAGCACACAACCTGCTGTCCCGATTGTGTGCAGAGGTGAGCAGTACGTTGTCCAGAAAAGCTACACAGCCGTGGAGGACGACGAGTTGTCCCTCAAGGAGGGTGATACCATCGAAGTCATCCACAAGCTCCTCGACGGCTGGTGGGTCATCAGGTGAGAGATGCCACGAACAAATCAGGCAAGCGGGACGCGGGCAGAGGGAAGGGATGAACCGGAGGTTCTCCACAGC